ATAGATTGGAGCCGACATGCTGGCCCTCCGCCCGCTAAGCGACGATAGATCTGCCAGGCGTGGTAGCAATTGTCCAGAATCCTGCATGCGCATCACGAATGATGCGGTTCGAGGTGGTCGTCTTGATCCTCACGCGGAAGTCTTTTCTTGGATGGAAGTCTTCAAGGCCATCGAGCATCATCTTGTTCAACCTGGATGGGAAGCCACAGCCTCAGATGCGCTTCCTAAGCTGTAAGATGTCTGTCACTCGGCATTGCAAAAGCAGCAGGTCAGCCAAGCAAATCTAGCAGCATCAAAGTCAGAAGGATCTGTTGGACAAGACCTTGGGGGCAACCAAGGTCCAGCCGTACACCGCGATACAGACCTCAGCACATCGTAACACTAGGCCGGCAGGCTACCCAACTTCTGCAAATCACAGCGGACTTGGCAGCCCGTACTATACCTGATCCGGGCAGTTTGGCCAAGGAACAAAGACGGTAGCCGCTCGAACGTTGAATCTGAGCCAACTCACCTCTGCATGCTTGCAATTCACAGTCGAATGTTTCGTTGCCATTGCTGGAGGCAGCCGAAGGGCACGTGGTGCCAGCAACGAGGTTACGTAGAAGTCGGCCAGGAAATGGACTCCACAGCGCAACAAGAAGTCGCTGGAGTCCTCATCATGATGAAGAACGACAGTGACATACTTCTAGCGAACGCTTGCTTGCACGCGACAAAGTCGTCATCGTCATCGATGGCAGCCGCACTGCGACCAGCAAGGTGCCTAGGACACTTGGGTAAAGGACCGGCGGAGTGCCGTCAAGTTTGGATCCAGAGACGCCTGGCAGGGCTGCTGCTGATGGCGAAGTAGGCAAGGGAACAGGCCGGCACCAGCAGGCCATACCTCGGAGCATCTTTCTTGCAACCTTGAGCATCTAGAATGAACCCTGCCACCGCGCCAGAGCGTTGCTGCTGAAACACAGCGTGGTCGGAACGTCGTCATCCTCCAGTGGAGCAGCGCTGTCAGGCCGGATCTCCGCCACCTGGTGGCAGAGATAGACATTGTAAGCCAGCATGACCTGGTTTTCCAGCAGACGGAGGCGGAGCTGACTCATTGAATGCGGCTTCCCTACAGGAGACATGGTAGTGCGCATCCAAGAAGCCGAGGAAGTCATCAGGGAGCCATGCTCGCACCAAGTTGTTATGCTCACTCCCAACAGGAGCACTGAAAAGATGAAAGATATCACCACACACCAGATCACCTGCGCGACGACTAAGAAGACATGAATGCCCGTCTGCCGGACATAGCATACAAAGCACAAGCCTCGGGCTCGTGCATGCACAGGAAGATGGCTGCTGCTAGCCTGGTGTGCGCGGTCGTTGAGTATGCATGCGGCTTTCACCCAAGACGGATGCAGACGAAAGACTCAACGATGGATATCACATGCGCGAGAGCAGCAGTACTAGCCTGTTCATTTACAGCGTGCCATACTGCCGCAATTCGAGTCGACACTCTTTAAATCGAATGAACCCTCCTCAGCTGGGGTCCACACGAGCCCAGAAGCAATAGAACAGAGGCGGCAACCATGATGTGCAAGCGCCAGCTATAGGCCTCGACTGGCATCTCGAAAGTTGGATCACCAGCCTCTGTAGTAAGCTTCTCTCAGTGCCCCACATCACTGCTGACCAGCCGTTGTCTCATCTGCACCTAGCTGGCGAGAGGATGAGCTAGAATCTTGAAGTGGGGGGTGGAAAGATACCAGTCGGCTGGCCCCAAATGGGTCTCAGTTCTGTCCTGCCTGAAACCTTTCTCTCACTTTTTGGTGGTCCGAGCCCCCATTGCTTCACCGAGTTACTGCACCGCTGTACAGACGGTCATTGAGGTTGTAGGCCCAGTCCATGAAGAGGACCGCCTCAGAGTGTCGCAGATCCTTTGGCGGAAAGCTGGGAGCTCGCGACCGCAGAAGACTTGCGTCTTTCGGCCTGCAGCACGCGGTAGGCGGCAGCGGCAAACCTTCACCGAGGCAATCAAGCTGAGGCATTCTTGCAGCTTGCGAGCTAATCATGCCAGGCAGACATCCCAAAATCCTCGACAGCGACAAATAGGCCAGATGGGAGGCAAAGGGCCACCAGCAGCAGCACAAGCCTTAATGCAGGATCTGCACAAGTGAGCTGTGCGAAGAAGCTCGTGCATGATGTCAGCAAGCACTACAAGCCAAAACAGGCACACCGGAGAGCCAGATTCGGAAAGCTGCCTGTCCATGCAAATCCAATTCCTGTCTCTGCCCGAGGTACCTGGCACCCGTCGTCACCCGTCCAGGTGCAGACGAGATGCTGCACCGTGGCAATCAGCCTTAAGAGGAGACAACTGCACCGTAAGGAGTCAGATCAGCAGGACCAAGTGACTACAAGGCAAACTGCAGCCAGGACTCCCTAGGACACCCACGCGGTGGGCCAAGCCCTGTGCCCGCCAGAGAGTGCCCAGCGAGCCTTGCACCGTTAGGATGGCCAGCCTGGGTGGGAGTCGAAAGCGACAGATATGGATATCAGATATCACCCAAAAAGGACCACCAAAAATGACTCCAATTGATGCACACGCGATGTGCTCGTGTTGCTCACGTGGATGCCACCTGGCCACAGAATGTATATGAGGATCGAAGAGAACTCGGCACCTGCAGCGGTCTTCGAGTCTGCACCCAACGCACTTGTGCCTCGGCGGCTGGCCGAGCGACGGAAAGCCATCTGATCTCGATAGCAATACTCCGTGCCCGCCGGCGGATTGAGTGTTGCAGGACCTCAAACTAGGGTCTAGAGAGGCATGCAAGGAAATTCAGGCAGCTCTAGACTAGAGCAGCGGACCTTCGCACACGCAGACTCCAACACCGGCCTGGCTGCTTCGACCTCAACACATTTGGTGCACTGCAAAACGTAGGGATCCATGCAAGGATGCCGCAACAAGACACGTCCTGGCAGTCTCAGGACGCAGCAAAAGCCCGGCGCACCCAAGCGCAGAAGCAGTGCCAACAAAGCACTGAGGCCCTGCACGAGGACCAGAAGCCTCGGCTCAAAGAACTCCCCGGCTAGCACACATGTCATCACATGTTGCAATCCAGGGGCCAGTGAGACCACATCTTTGACCCCATGGCTGCGGATCTACGAGCTTCTCCCCAGCAGGCTGCTACGCTAGATGGCGGCTAGAAATCAGAGCTGCACTTGCTATTCACGATGTTGATGTCGACAGCTGTCATTCGACAGCCGTTCGGCAGTGAAGACACCAGACCCAGCTCCAATGGCGACGGCAGGGCGACGGCAATCGACACAAAGTACTGTGTCCATACAGCTACAGGCGAGAATAGTACCAGGCCGTGCAAATGATTTTGAGGCCATGTGCTTCTAGCAGTAGAGTCTAGACGGACTATGTTGCAGTTCATGGTCCTGGGAGATGTGGAACATCTCCTGGCATCTTCGCACGGTTCACTTTGGCAGCCCGTCATGCAGGGGTGCTTACCGGAATCAGAGCTTTCTGCACCTGTAGCACGGAAGTTGAAAAGCAAGAACCCACAAGTGGGCCAGAAGTGCGTTCAGCACGTTCGTTTTCCGGAGCCGTGTCAGCTCCGCCGATGCCTAAAACCGCCCAGCTCGTTTTCAAACTGTTCAATTCAACTCGTCTGAGTCTGTCAATTCCAGCAAATCTGGTACAGTTCTTGAAGCCATCGGGGACCCAGGCATATCGGATAGCTGCAGACGTAGCGGCACGCTCCTTCAGGGGCCCGGCTTGCCGTTAAAAGTCGAAAAAATGCACAGACCAAGGTTGCGAGGTCTTGTGCTCTTGCTTGTCCTCTTCTGTCTCTTCGATGTCCAACTGGCACTCTGCAACTTTCATCCAAAAATCGTCTTCCTCCAGATCTGGCAGGACTATGCAGAGCTAAGCCTCCCATGGAAGTTTCTGGCCGCACCCACTACGAACTCACCCGCATCAGAAATGCCTCCTTTTGAAGTTGCTCCTCCAGCTGCCGCTGGCGCTCAAGTTCGCCCTGAGCAGCTTGCGGCTCTGGCTTGGATTTGATGCAACTTCTCAGGCTCCGGCCATGAGCTCCGCCTCCTCTTTTCTGCACGCCTGCGATCGAGTACTGAAGGCAATTCAGGAAAGCAGCATCTGGCGCTGCACCTCCAACTCGTTGAGGAGGCTCTCTTCTTGGCGTTCCATCTCAGAGATCTCCGCCTATCACTGCGCGAGGATCGGAGGAATGACTTGAAGCCTATCTGTCCAACAAATCGCAAGGAATGCTGACTGAGCGGCTTCGAGGGCTGCCTGTGTGCATCCAATGCTATCACAGCGAAACAACACGTAGCGGATTGTGGGTCTTTGTAGCTGCGCTGAACATGAACGATGCGAGCAGACCTGTTATTGAACGTCATCACTTCGCCTCGTCACTGGCGGCGAGCTCCTCCTTCAGGCGCTGGAGCGCCTCGTCGGAAGCCGCCACGAAAAAAACCCACTCTGGGACCTGGGAACCCCCGAACCTCGTTGTAGGTGCGGCTTTCCTCGGCAGCCTTCAGGCAAGAGGCAAGAAGGAGGGGCAAGCTTGAAAACTGGTGCATCTCAAACATTGCAAAAGAACTCTTCTTGCTTGGCAACGTCGTTTTTTGTCACTTTCGTGCAGGGGGGGTCTAGCCGGCCACCGTTTTGCGCTCACCTCGACCTCGCAGAGGCATCTCCCTGAACCGAGCTCCTCTCCCTGACCTTGTCAGCCTTTGAAACTGCCAGGGAAGCCTCAGAGACGATTCTCTGCAAGTCCTGGTCTGGAAAAACGAGCTGTGCATTTACCAAGAGATGCAGGCTTTGGCGGAGCTCCGATTCCCTACAGCGCTGTGATGAGTATGAGTGCCACATGCCAGCAAAGCCCACGAAAGCCTGAATCGAGCGAAACAGACTTGCGACCTTTGGTTGCAAGACTTCACGCTAGAGGCATAATACGGCACCTGCAGGTTGTCATGCCAGTATGCGGTACTTGCCCCAGTCATCACACGAAGTTCCTTACATCTGGCGCTGCTAATGAGACAGTGGATGCTGCTGCTGAAAGAGTCAGAAGCTATTTCGTCAAAGCATCTCCAAGAGTATGCCGGCAAGCAGTCCGAAGAAGAACATCGCCTGTGAAGCAAGACTTACAACTGGTTTTGCCATGAGCTTATACGCCATCCAATCACTGGGGCCACCGGGGCCCTGGGGCCGCGGACGTTGATTAGCTTGGAGCCGCTTGCAACTTCCTGTGCTTCGACTAGGAGCTCCTGTGAAGTGAGTGAAGTGCAGCAGTGCAGCAGTGAGCTGTGTTCCTCTGCCACAGAGCTCCTGCGTCACGAGGAAGAGCAAGGCAACGATGGAGAAGCTGATGAAGCCCTGAAGTGCAATTCTGAGTTCTGAGCCGGCCAGGCTCAGGTCTTCAGTCTCAAGTTCAGAAGTGCCTTCAAGCAAAGCCTCCAAGCCCAGACATGTTTCTCTTGGGACCCGGCAATGAAGACCTCAGGATTTTCCGAGCACATCCTTCCCAGCCTGCCAGATGCACACGCGTCTCGATTCATCTTCGAGTCATGCCAGTCGGTCACAATCTCGTTACGGTATGTCTAGTGCCTGTGTCCTGCTTCGCCGGATAGCACCAAGATCACCGGAGGCAGCAGAGCGACTGTCACGATCTTCCACGCCTGCATGCACGTGGTTTGTCTGCTTGTCGCTCGGTTTCTGTGTACCTTTCCTTTCAATCTCTACCTCGCCGACACATTCGTCGGCTCTGGATACGTATTTTGATTGTCCATGTGACGCTGGAGTTCTACAACTCTTCGCGGGTTTTTGCGGGGATTCGACGCCAAAAGCTGTAGCCAAGGGGCCGAGCGCGTGGCATTCTGCAGAGAGGCACAGAAGGAAAGGCCCAAGAAGCCCATTTCCTGAGCGTAGCAGCAATGCAGCGCCCCGGCTTGGTCCCCTTGGCGCAAGTCATGGCCCTAAATCCCAGAAAAAAACTCCAGGTCTGGGGCTATGCAGGTTGCAGCTGCCATGGCAATACCCGCACCTTGGATTTCAATTCAATCATGTCTTTCCTGACGTGCTCAGCTGTCATGCCAGCCGCGATGCTCGGAGATGCTGCGTAGGACAGACCTTAGCTGGGTTCGCCCTTTAAGTCGCTTGGGATGCACCTAAACTAGCTCCCGATTGGCAAAGTTTGCCCTTCACATGCTATCAAGAAGCCGATCAACAGCCCGTCCACTGCGGCATCCACGGTGACCTGGGCATCCCAGCTGGCACCACGCAGTGGAAGCGCGGTACTCGAGAATTGCAGCTTCCGGGCGCTGCTGACGGTAAGCTAAGTCGCTCTCGTAAAACGCCGAGCAAACAGTCTCTTCGCGATGGGTGCAAGCTCTACCCCAACTGCTAAGCCACACCTCGAACATCTCCTACGGCATGTAAGATAGTCATCTTGGGCCACCGGCTGCACCCACCAAAGGAAGCGGTAGATGCTCCGATAGCTTGGCCTCCTCGCTTGGCCTTGGCAGCCGACATGTCTTCAAAACGAAGACAAGGGGCCGGCTATGCTCACAACGTCCAGAAAAAGGCTCGCAACCATTCCTGACTGCTGCAAGCCGCTTCGCCCGGGCCTTCCACCGCCGGAAGTGAGGTACACGCTCCGCGTGACCATGCAAATGCTCCAGGCAAGCCTTCCAAGCACTTCGACTCTCCCACTCTAGTCTTCTCGCCCCTGTTCGCGAAGCCTGAAACTCTTTGAGGTGGTCTTTGGCCTTCTGGAATGTGTCGAAACCTGGCCACGAAGAACGTGCAGTCACCCTGCTGTTGGTCTTCAGATTTGCACAACACCCATATTTCCGGCTATCGGCTAGAACCGCAGGCCTTGGAGCTTAACTGATGCCTGATCCAATTCTCGCCCATGTTCTTTCATCCTGCCAACACGTGCGTCGAACCAGTTTGCATGCTCAGTGTCGACCGCGAACTTAACTACAAGTAGGGAAGGTGCCTTTTGTGATTGTAGTCGTCGATCCCTGTTCGGACATAGAGAACGCGTGTGGCCTTGTGAACTCGATACCTGAAATGCTCCAAGCAGGGTCAGCCACAATACAGGAAGTGCACATGCCATTGAAGCGAGCTGCTCCAGGCCATGCAGGATCTCATCAATGGAATTCTGACAACCGTCTTGAATAATAGATTGCAACCCTCAGCTGCATTCTGCAAGTTACATATGCTTGAACACTCGGCTCCTGTGCCATCTGCCTAGCGAGGTCCCTCACTCACCATCTGACACATGGGCTTCGCTTGGCCAGGTCACGCTGAACCTCCTTCCGAATCTCAGCAGTTTCTGCTTGGAAACCTTCCTGGATCAGAGGCGGCACAAACTGATTGCAACGCAAGGCAAAATAGATGACACTGCGAGCAGGCAGTCGAAGGAAGTCAGTAGAGCACGTGCAGCCTCCAGAACCTCTAAAGATACCGTATGGAGCCTCTCAAGATACCTTATTGAACCTCTGGAGATACCTTATTCTAGAACCTCAGCAACCTCTACAGGCACTGTACGAAACCACTACGAAACCTCTAGGTCTACAGATAGCTGACAGAACCTCTAGAGATACCGTATAGAACCCCCCAAAGATACTTTTTTGATACACAAGACAAACCGACACGGACAGAAATGACTAGGAGGGGCCTTCGCCCTCGTCCGGTCGGCTTCATCGACATCGAGCAGCGCCTCCATACTCCAAGCTCCCAGAGCACTGTCCGATATTAGAAATTCAAAGCTGCGGCCCATCTGGGAAACCACCCCGATCAGCCCAAGCAACGAGATTTGCCCTGGACCAGCTTGCAGCAAGGCGCTGTCTCGATGTCGCTGTGAGTTCTCCTGTGCGTCGGCTGCTCCTGCATGTGCTTCCATTTTGAAGCTGAGCGAATCTCGAAGGGCCCTCGAGACGCAAATGATCGTAGCAGGCATTGGCAGGCATGGCATCCTCGTCTTCCTCTTCTTCCATGCTCTCTGTAACATAGCCCAGACCAAACCTGTTTACGGTTCTGACCCTGCTCGCGCATCTGACTGATAGAAGGTGTCCCACTTACTTGGAGATGCCCTCCAAGGGACATAAAGATCAGGCCGATCGCAAATCCAATCACCAGCGCCACCGTTGACATCAAATTCGAGGTGTCTGAGGCTTTGGGCGACAGTAGTGGCAGGAGCTCGTTGCCAACAGCGGAGATCAGAAGGCCTCACAGCCACAGAGACGAGGATCGCAATGATCCCGAAGCGACGGCTGAGAAAAGAAGATCAGCATCCGCCACGCCTGCTGAAAACATCTGGAATCCTGCCTGGATCGTGTCGGGCAGTCGGCACCTTGGTCAGCAACTGGGCGTACCCATGCAAGTCGCCGAGCATCACAGCATCCTCGCCGCAATGATCACCAGCAGCCGTGCTAAGCCACAGACACGAAGACAGCCATGGAGCCCAAGAGCATTGCTATCGAGGGCAGCGAAACCACGAGTTGGACATGAGTCTCCATGGGACCTCGACTGCAACCGGCAAAGCCGCAAAGCTTTACGATGCTTTACAGCTGGATTTGGATTCTGCATTCTACTTGATGGCTGAAACCTGAGACAAAAAAAGGGTATGGCCTCGTTGGTCTGCGCCGCGGTGGCCAAACGGCCCAAGGAATCTACCCTCTGCGTATCTAAGCTGAGCGCTGTAAAGGCATCCAGCTATGAAAGCTCAGAAAGCCATGCAGCAGAATTCATTCGAAAAGCGTCGAACGACTACACTGCCCTGTCATAGCTGCGACACGCAAGGCCTCGCTGGCCAGCCGCTCCACTTCCGCAACAACGTTTTTCAGGCAGTTGGAACCTCCAACTCCCCGCTTCTTCCAACGTGTGCCACGAGTTTTTTGACAACGACTGTAACCCTCAGGACCCTGCAGACCGGATGATCCTGCCCGGACTGGCCAGCAGCGAGGGCCTCGGTGAAACTAATCGGTCTGTTGTGTGCTGATGTAGGGTGATCTGGAACTCTGTCGCGGCTTTGCCCAGAATGTGGTCTTTAGGATTCAGCACATATCCAAGATGCAACGGCCTTCGTGTCAGTTACTCAGACAAGATCGGGAATTTTGAGGTATTAGGCCATTAGGCGAAGCTCCGTGCAGGGCAACTATGAAAGCTGACGCCGCTACCACATCAAACTGCACGCAGTGGGCAACTTTCCCTGGGACCTATCCTTCGAACCACTCCATACCCAGCACGATGTCAACACGGCTTGTGCAGCCTGGTACCTTCCAGGCAATAAAGATAACGATGCAACAGCTTCATCCGAAGTTGCTCCAACGATTCCTCCATGGCGGATGTGCAGGTTTTGTGCACTTGGGTGTAAGCTGAATGATGGCGGATAACGGAACCGTTCCTCGGAAGCATCTCTAAACGGGATTGTCAAATGTGGGAATTGAGCAGGGGTGAGGTCTGAGATGGCATGTTGATCTGGCGAGCGAAGCCCAAAGACAAGAGGTAGGAGCGATCTTTCCAGGGTCTATGCCATGGCGATCGTAATCATCGAGCCTCCAATTCCCTAACAGCCACAGAGCCCAACCTTTCCGGCCGAAGCTACATGCAATGCTGTCGCAAACCGCAAATTCCAATCGGCAGCCTCACAGCTGGGTGGCCAGACCATGATCCGCTCCACTCGAGCCACCTGCTCGAAAGGTGCCACCCAGGGCTGCGCCTGAAGCTGGGCGAGCAGTGAGGTCCCACAAACGTCCTGTATTTCTGCAGTTCTTAGATGTCAAAAGCTTCATACACTCTGGTGAAGCTCCTTCAGACCGAGCCTGGTTGGGCGCATCCTGCTGAGAACCTGGAGCCACAAAGGACTCGGGTCCGCGAGCAACACGTACAGTACCATGGAGGGATAGGAATCCTTTGGCCCCAACGCTGCGGGAACACGAAACAGGTCCCAACCGGCCAGGCCAAGGATGGCCAAGGGACTTTGGCTCGGCTTCTCCGGCTCCTCAGCACTGGGTGGTACCACCTGAAGAGGCCGACGACGGCAGCAAGAATCATCGACATCGTGATTTCGTGTCCGCGCTGTGAAACGCCTCTGGGACAGTGCATACAACCTAGGTGGCATACACTGGGTTGACGGCCACGAATGACTCGCTCACACCCTTGTGGAAAGACTTCGACACGTCCTTGAATCACGGGCATCTCACACTCACTCGCTCACTCGCTCACTCTCTCTTCGTCTCTGTGTCTCTCTGTGGACAGGCGCGAAGCTAATGCTGCTTGAACGACGCATTGCCGCAAGGTCCGTGAAGATCTATCTCTCTCGAAGTCTCGAACTCTGGTCCCGAAGCTATGCATGGCTTTTCGCTGCTTGCGCACTCTCAGTGGCCAACCGCTTCCGGAGGCAAGTCCTAGGTGTGACACAAACAGCTTCACATGCATCCCGAACGAACTGTCGCTGAGTCGCTGGTCCAGCTTCAAACTGAGACAACCGAGCACATGAGGGCATGCATCTTAGCACCTAGTCGAAGGAGCAGCAAGAACCGGCATCAGGGCAGTCCCAAGCCCCGAACATCCACGATGCGTAACTGATCTCCACACCGGCTACCTTGCCAAACGTGCTTTCCACTAGGAGTAGTTCTGATGGCTCTGAGCAAGCCACCACATGGAGCGCTGGAAAAGCAACTGAGATCCACGCAATCGGTCAAGAAAACGGTCTTCTGTGCAGCATCCTTATGTCGGACTCAAACCACCAGAAACTAAGGCAAGCCGTGTGTGGGTCCCGACTGGGGCAGTTCGGCCCAGAGCAGGGTCCGGCGGCCGCAGCATGCAGGCTTCGAACGCTTGGCTGTGCTTTCGAACGGTAGGCTGGCGTATTGAGCATTATTGAGCTTCAATGTGTCCATCTACACGCAGTCTTTGATGCAGAAGTCGGACTGCGCTGGAGTACGTTCGCCAAGACACCCCTGACATGTCTCACTGACCGTCGCACATACTCGCGTCTCAGTGAACATTTTCCTTCCAGCACGAAAAGTTTTCGACCGGTTGCGGCTTGGTCGTTGGCATTGGGACTATCTACCACCTCAAGGCAATGGCAGAGTTCTTTGGCATGGGTGACACCGATTCCGCAAGGAACCCCGGGAAGGTGTTGCACGTTTATTTCCAGCTAGCTTCCACCGGTAAGTTGAGCCCCCAAGGGTTCCACCACACCAGGGAAAATGCTTGCATTGAAGGCATCTTCCAGGATCACACAATACCGCTTGCCCGGCACAGCGGCCGCAGCCACCGTGATTTCAAATGCACCGTGCACAGACAGTTGTGCTTCAGAGTTCCTGGCTAACATGTCCGGACATCTGCGCACGGGAAAATGTTCCTTCTCTTCTGCCAAAAAGGGACCTCAGCTTTTCCGCGGTCCTCGGGAATTGTGGCAGATGGGCCTTACCTCGTGAAGAGCTTGGCCGGGCTTGGGCAAAGCCATGCCGTGTTTGTGGGACTCTAGTTGCTCTTGCTCTGCGCTGAGGGCCGGGTGTCATCAAGGCCGTCTGTGACTGAACAACATGTGGTCTAGCTGAACTTGTGGGTACTGTACAATCTTCCCAAATGGCCGGTGACTTCTCGGCGGTTTGAGCACCCAGGTCAGCGTGCTGACCCTGTAAGAATCCACATCTGATGAGACAAGGCTTAGCTTTTTGTTATCGTGATTCACATCTGAATGGTATATGCATGTATATGCTCTAGGCAAGCATTCGGTGAGAGTTTCTAGTTTAAAGCATCGGTCTCACTTCCAGGCACAGGCGCACGGCACGAGGGCAACAGCTGCCTTGGCAAACGGAAAATCATCCAGTCTTCGGGAGCCTGAGAACAGCAAGGCGGGATCCAAGCACGCCGCGCCAGGAACCCCTGCGATCTGTGGTCGAGGATGGAACGCCACCTGTAGCAGGCAAGAAGCTTCACGAAATGCGAAAAGGCGGCTCAGCAGGTTTTACAGCAGCTCGGGTCGCCATGCTGCACAATTTAGCGCCCCACCTAATAGTCATGACTCTCTCTCGGTTATCCGCGGTTTACCGGGCCCGACGACAAAATACGTGCCATTCTCGGTTGGAAGACCAATCAAGCAGCCTGGTTGGCACGTGCAGCTAATTTACAGGTCCATTGTCCACTCCACAAGCCTCAACTCGTAAGCACTCTCAGGAAGCCCGAAAGGAAAGATGATCGTCCTGAAAACAGATAAAACAAAAGCGACTAGGCTCACGCAAGAGCTTTCTGTCTTGCCGAATGATTTTCAGACATGGTTGGCTCTCCAGTTAAAGCGCCTTGCTCTTCTGTCTGTATCTCACCGGATAACGACCTGCGACCCCGCCAGCTTCACATATTCTGCGCACCTGTCCATGAAGGGCACTGGTGCTCATTGCTCGGCCGAGCGGGGACACGACCTGGCGACAGAATCAGATCGGCTGGGCCAAAATCAAGACGATGCATTCACGGGAAACAGCTTGACATAATTGCACTTGAACTTGAAGCTGCTGCAGTAACGCTGAAATGCAGCCCAGTCGCTGCTCGCATTACACCCATGGCGCGTGCAGGTGCAGGGGTGTGCGACGGCCGCCTGAGGAAAGCATGCCAGCGCTGAAACCTCCGAGTAGACCTCTCGTTGATTCAACCGCTTCCAAGCATCCCTGTGTCTGGGCGCAGGACTGCGATGGCTGTGTGGAGGAATGCCCTGCATGAGGCACCTGCGCCACAACCTGGCAGGAATGCCGCCAGTATTGCCGGACGTCACAGCTTGGAGAAGGACTCGCAACAGAACAACTTCGTGCCGCTTCAACAGTAGCAGCGGGTGAGGGCAGCAACAAATCTCTGCGTGGTGCAAATGATGCCAACGGCCTGTATGGGAGAAGCCTGCGGCAGTGCAGCAGCAGAGGCGTAGATGGCTCGTCCCTGCAGAACAAACACGTTGTCCCTCAAATTCAGGAGCATCAATCGGCACCCAAATTGATGACAAGGGCACACATCAGCACATCCGACACTGAATACTGTCTACACCGTCTACGCCTCTTCAATCGCGTTGTCAACACTGCAAGCAAAACATTCACACTCAAACAATTCAAACAACCAGCATCTGTCCACATTTCCTCTGGACTTGTGGTAGGTCGGCAACGCAAAGTGAGTCTGCAATAGCCGCATTGTTCCATGTAGCCGAGCATGATAGCAGACAGGCCCAGACAGTGATGATAAACTGGAGAGCAGCAACAGCATGGTAACATAAACTCTGACAATGGCAAACAGCGCTCAAAGACTACTTTACAATACAAAAATCGGGGCATCACCGAGGATATCAATTGTCACGGCCATTGCTCCAGGGAATGGGGAAACATGACACAAGTGGCAAGTACATGCGACACAAACAGAGGCACTTCGTCCCAGGAAGTCACATGAGTGAAGGAATTACACATGGAAGCAGTAGAAGCAGGAACAAACCAATAACATTGCAATGAGACCCCGAGGTTTGCGCCTTGGCCAAAGGGGGCGGTGAGGTGGCCTCGCAGAAGCCACAGGTGCTGCTCGACACCACATGCCCTTTTTCGCGCATGCTCGCAGGCACATCTTGTTCTTCGAGTCCAGGTCACGCGGGCCTTATCCACAAACCTGAACAGCCGGCTTCAACCATAACAGGAGAGCTGCACAAACTGCAAGCAGCTGCAAGAACTGTCCAGCAATGTCCAGCACCATCGGGATATGGAGAAGTAGCGCTGCTGCTCGTCCCGTCATGGTCTGCTCATCAAACAGCCGGCCCTGTCTCAAGCCCTTCAACTCGCAGAAGACCACACGTAAGAACGGAAGGACTGGAGAAGGTCAACACTGCGCCGTGGGGCCGTGGGAATTGGGCTCCTGCGCTGCTGCTACAATTCCGGTGTCTTCGCGCGAGGGTTCAACAGTTGATGCAGAAGATTTTTTGCATCATCGAAGCCCTGCTCTGCCAAGTCTCGCAGGACCTCTTCTGCACGGAAGAGGGTGAACGCGTTGATCTGAACACCGCGCTGGTGCAACTTCACGAACTGTGAGAGTGCTGCTTTGGATTCAATCCGGATCAGCCACGGAGCCACGGCTTCCCAGTTACCTTCCCGGGCCAATGGCTCGATAAACTTCTTCATTGCCGTCTCGTGGCCCATCCGCGCCGCGCGCTCCAAGTGCATGCGGGCCTTTGCTTCATCTTTGCTGCGCTTCGGAGTTGCCTCGGAATAGAGCACGTAACTCTGGTACATGGCCTCGACGGTGAAGTCAGCAGCCCGTTCGAACCAATCCGTAGCGAGATCGAGATCCCTGGGAAGACCTCCGGTTCCGTTTTGATATCCGGTTGCCAGCTGTCCCATTGCATTGGGCTCGCCAGATATGGCACCCTGTCGGAATAAATGCATGGCCCCACTTATATTGCCTCGACGCCTCTCTACCAGCCCCAGATAGTAGCAGGAGTCTATCTCACCGCCTTGGCGAGACTGCTCGTACCAGTAGGAGGCCTTCTCGTGGTTTGGCTTGCCTTGGAGACCATCCTCGATTGCCTTCCCGAAGTAAAGCTGGGCACGAGGGAAGCCACTATTGGCCGCTGTCTCCAGCCAGGTCCAAGATTCTTCGGGTGTGGCCGCGCGCATTGCGCGAAGTGTTTGGGCGACGGGGTCGCCTCCCTCTGCCTCTTTTTTCCACCAGTCGGCCGACTGTGAGCTGCAGTCGCTGGAGTCCTGGAACCACATAGCCCAACTCCATCGCTCTCCTGCCTTGACATGCACTCCGTGAAGAAGATCAGACTGATGTACGACGGTGTCACCTTGCTGTAGAGGAATGAAAGACTTCTCGCCGTTGCCGGTGGTGACAAAAAAGCCTCCGTGAAAGTCGCGGCCCGATGAATCCAGGCTGACGACCACAGAGACATACGAGGGAATATCCCAGTGTGTGTCGTGGGTACGGCGCTCGTGCAGCAAGTAGCGGCGGATCATCGAATGGCACACAGCCCCCGCATTCGGGTAGCGCTTCCAAACGAAGGGCTGGATACGGTCTCGGATGATTGGCTCGGTGACGGCTCGCAGGCGCTGGCGCAAGGACTCCCTCACAGGATCGTGGGCCTTGCGTGCCCCAGCGCTGGAAATGATGAACTCGTAGGTCACCATTTTGTCGACCCCATCGATATCCTCATCGAAATCATTCGGGGCATCAACCAACAGCTGCTTCATGGCCACAGCTTCACCACTTGTGACCAAGGATGGGAGCAAGTGGAAGTTCGCTCTCCAAGTTGAGACAGGCCACTTCACCGAACCACTCACCACTGTTCCAAGCCATGTCTCACGTCCCCAGAAGCCGGGATGCAACTTGGCAGTTTCGCTCTGCGCAACCACAAAGCTGGAGAAGCTCGCATTTTGCATCCACTTGTGGACAGCATGGCGCTCGTCGATGCGTGCATCCCGAGTGCTTTCTGTGACGCAGCCCAGAAGGCCGAAGAGGGCAAACAGTCCCAACAGTCCAAGGACAGCTTTGAGGAACGCAGCCATGTCTGCGGAAGAAAAACCAATCAAAAGGATGTCCTTTGGCAAAAGAGAAGAAGCGGGAAAAGCTGCTGCTGCTGTCCCAGATGCCGTGGCTGCACAAGCGTGTGCTGGGCCACAAGTGTTTGTCATTATGTTGGTCGTCTGTTGACTCTCCTTCTGTCAAAGAAACCACAAACCGGCACAATCAAAAGCTGCTGACACGCATCGGGACTGAATCCACAATCAATGGCTTGCTTTCGTTGTTCGAACTTCCACGGAATGGCAAGCATGCACCTTAACATCAACACACGCGTCATTCTGAATCCGTAAAGCGCATTCAACACCCGATGAAGTAGAGAGCTCTTGGCCCAAGCACGCCTATGAAGACTGGGCATGATTTCGTTCGCCTGTGGGGATCGCACAACGTCCTGCTTGGAAGGAGAGGCCGGGTTCGGCGAAGAAGCACCTTGGCAAAAAGCAGAAAATGGTAGACGGAAACCAAACAGATCACTTCGCGGCACGTGCCACTCGTCCAAACGCAATCAGAACCTCGAATGGCTCCGAGGAGTGAGCTTCTGCCCACGGGCATGCTCTGCACGGCGACGCTGCGTGGGTCCACTCCGGGACTGGAAGAATTGGGAGCCGGCCTCAAAGTGCTTTGCGAATTCCGACCGAGCTGTGCCTTATACAAATCCTGGCCTCGATGCCCAGCGAGTCATCGGAAGGTCCGCAACCTGGCAACAGCCCAACCATCAATCCGAAACCACAGTTCTCAGAAGCCGTGGCCTCCTCTTCTTCAGCCACCACCGCCTGGTGAAGGATCCTGTCTTGCAGAGCTCATGCCACGTTTACGAGCACCCTCAGTCACCCTCAGGTGCTGGCCTCTGCTTCGTAAGCGGCGACGCTTCCACACAGGCCTGTCCCGCTCTTCGAACAGCGAAAGAACAAAGAGAGCCGGTAATAGAGACCGGGAAGAGTCCAAGCGGCCTTGCGCTCGTGAAGAGTCACACAGGACTGGCTTCCTGGCAACGACAGAATAGCACATGCTCGGCTCGACGTTCACGATAACGAACATTCGGCCCTTCCGTCGTCTCGCCTACCTCCTTTTGTTGCACAAGAATCCATGCTTCGCGTTTGTACAATAGCATCGTATAGGACGCAGATTGAACCTCAGATGATAGTCTGTGCATTGCAGATTTTGATTCAACTTCTGCTCCTTGTACATGAGAAACTTAGTTGAAGGTATGCTCACGCACACCATGCTGTACCACAATATATCGTGTTGCTTTGAGTTACACTGTAGAATGACACACCACGGAACGCTAGCAAACATGAGGTCTCCAAGCTGCGAAATAAAAGTCATGAGATGTGACACACTATGCTGAACACAGTATACACCCTAGACTTTTCGAAGTGTCTAAGAGTCGGCATTATATGGTCGTCCTCATTGTGGCATACAACACTCGATTATGCTGTCGTACTGTGCGGTATTGACCTATCCTACACCATGCTAAGATAGAAAGCATTTATGCTCCGATACGTCGCAGCATGTAAAACTACAGGGAACCTGAATGCATACACCCATAGAACAGAACAAAGCAGAGTTTGCAGTGCAAACTGTGAACATGCAAGAATCCCATTTGGCCGAAAAACATAGATGGACATTGACCGTTGCTGTACGAAGCAGCCACCGGCCGAATCGAAAACTTGTCGGAGCCACTGGCTAACAAGCCCGCCATGTGTGTAATGTCCTGGAGGGACAGGGTGTCAAGTGGACCCGGCGCTAGGGGTACTCCCGCAAGCTCACTACTGTCGCCCAATCCTTTGGCAGAGGCGGGGCGGTGCCCGCAGCTGGGGAGCAGAGCGACTCGTCCTTGGTTGCATTGTGGCATGAGGCTGAACTTCCGAGCTTTGCACGCAAACGATCACTATACTCAGACTTGTGCTCCTTGCGACTGGGGTTTTGACTCAGCGATTCAACCCTTGCTTCGCGGCCGTGGCACAGAAGAATGCATCGAAGGCGTGCCACTGAGGTTGGTGGCCTTGGTAAAGACATGGGTGGCTGTCGCTTAGCACTGTTTCTGGGCCAAAGCAATGCTTTGCTTGTTGCACTCTCGATTTTACTGCTGCGGTCACGAATAGTGGCTGTGGAAATGAATCGCAAACATCCGGGTCCCGAAACCGCAGAATCGATGTCAACACCGTTCTTGGCAGCGCCCAAACGCAACCTCACGAAGGAACAGTGGCTGCGTGGAGCCACTGTTTCCACGCTTGCTGCCGGGCATCGGCGACGTTTGTCGGGTGCGCTGTAAGCTCGTGAGGGGAGGGCGACATCTGCTAGAATGTGTTCTAGTGTACTGAGTACTGGCGGTCGGGCTGCATTCGGACGTTGCATCACGCCAACAAGTTGAATATCAGGTTAAGCTGCCAAACTACAACGCTTCTTCAAGGCATTTCGAGAAAGCCCTGGTGGGCCCCTCAACGGGCCTGGGAACCACTGGCGGTGCAGCGGGACGCCCGACTGGCATGGCGCTTAACCCAACCTGGCGAACGAGCTGCCCCGTCGAGGAACATGCATTTCACCCCGCCCCAACCGTGCGAAGCCGAGAATAAGGCACATACTGAAAGCCTGAGAAAGGACCCTGCTGAAGCTTGTTGCTGCCTCCACGTCCTTGAGCATAACCATCTGCGCGAGAGCGACAGAACCAACATGTTGTGTTCGTAAAGATATAGGACTTATACAGCATTGCCCAATTCTAGTCTCCATGGTCTCCACCTTCTCTGGCGAGGGTGGAAACATCTCCGGCGGCCGCGAAGGAGGAGTTGGCAACACGGGCGCTGGCCTCGGAGGGGCCAAGGTGTGGGGTGTAGGCCTAGGCCTGGCCTCCTGGTCTCTACTTGGAGCTGCAAAGCAATGTGACAACGAAAGGCCGAAGCCTTCGCTGACTCCCCGAGGCACAGGCTCTCCAGCACCGTGGAAGGCCACGCGCAGGTTTTCATAGGTGCTTGTCTGACAGGCAGGTTCCGCAAAGCTTTGTTCGAAGCAAGATACTGCTAGCTGAAAAAAGGCCTTGAGCTCCAAGAACTCGAACTGCTGCAGCAGGTCCCGGCCTTGAAAGCTTGTCGTTCCGGATCACTGGGTGTTTGCTCTCTCCTCTCCCCCTCTCCATACTTTCTCCAGCCCGCACTGGAGTCATGCTCCCTACACTCGGTCTGCATCGTGCGATGTGCACGTTTTTCTGTCTCTGCTTCTTCTCCTGTGCTTGTCTCCAGAGTCTTGTGCTGCAATTGCATGCTAAAGTGTGCACCCTTCCCGTTCGATGAAATGCACCAAGACAACCTTTTCCTACCGATGGCAGATAAACACGTAGACTCAACACGAACCGCTGCAAAGTCAGCAAAAGCCGGATTCTTGTTACACACGTTTATTTCATTATGCATGTACATAGTAGCTGTTAGTTGTTATTAGTTACTTACTTCTCGCTAGTTGGTTGTGTAGCGATGTTCACATTTCTTTTTCGTTTGTTTACTTTTTTAGTTAGTTAGTTAGTTAGTTAGTTAGTTAGTTAGTTAGTTCGTTAGTTGGTTGGTTGGTTGGTTGGTTAGTTAGTTAGTTAGTTAGTTAGTGAATTCGTTAGTGAGTTCGTTGGTCGGTTGGTCGGTCGGTCGGTCGGTCGGTCGGTCGGTCGGTCGGTCGGTCGGTCGGTTGGTTGGTTGGTTGGTTGGTTGGTTGGTTGGTTGGTTGGTTGGTTGGTTGGTTGGTTGGTTGCAGGTTGAGTGTTTTTGGGGGTCTGTTTGGGCCTTGCTTGCTGGTAACTCGGAGGTGGCTTTCAGAA